CAAAAATTGCTTTAATTTTTATTTCTCAATATTGTTTCTTAAACTTTGGTGTCTTGTTATATTTTCCAGGCCATTAACTTGAACCATCTTTTGCGTCAGTTGCTTTCTGGCAATTAGTACAATCATTGTAGTGATTTACTATTTTATATGGAAGTCAAAATACTACTTTGTTTACATTTTGCTATTTTTATGACAAATTATTTCACATTAAGTGCTAGTTTCTTCAGATGATAAACATGTTATATGCTCTAAAAACTATTATATACGTTATAAAACTCATATTTGGTCTTAAGAAATGCATTCGTTTCTGAGGCTTAATGTGCCTTAAATTTAATAATCGTTCATTTTAATGGAATTTCTTTATTTGTAATTGCCTTTAACAGGCCTCTTTGGACATAATACTATTTTCGCATTACATCAAACTTCAAATGGCCAACAATTGACTGTCTGCTCTTGGTATGTTTTGTGTCGTTTTAAGTAAGATAAAATAAAGCTACATTGATCAAACAGAGCTTTAGGTAAATTGAGGACATAAAAAAGAATAAAAGATATTCAACATTTTTTTCAAAGACTCTTGACAACTTTTTGCAAGGCGTTAGTCTTACATTTGGATGAATGACATTTATTGAAGCCGTTTAGCCTAATTATATCATATACGGTTAGTTAAACACTTAACGAATTAAATTCAAACGGCGACTACCACAATTGACGGGTCATACGTTTTATGTAAACCTGAGAAAATCTTTGAACCAATTCATACCTGTGATAAGGTATAAGAATGACAAGATCTTGAAGGGTTAAATGAGATGATACTATTTAATGCATAAGAATGGGAGGATATCGGTCTTAAGGCTTTAATGCCTTTGTTTTGTCATACAAGCCAACGTGGTTTTGTCTGATCACTATTTGATATTTCATTTACCCGGTTGCACCGCGTAAACATAGGGTTTTGATATGGAAAAGATGTTATCATTTTATAGTGTCAATCCGGACAGTTAACAAAATTGGATATGTCATGAAGTAAATTGATAGTACCTGTTTGGTCTGATCAGGATCTTTTTATATTTACTCATTTTGTAATTAAAAAAATGACGATACTGCAAAGTACGTCAGACATTGCTTTGGTTTGTTGAGATTTTAATATTGATCTTACAACTGAAGTTATCATTTATAAATGATGGAAGTGTGATGTATAATAAATGCACAATATTTAATCATTAAACAGATTTCATATTATGTTGATATTAATATTTGAATGATATTCCTTATTTGTTTTATATAAATAACCAATCAGCACAGCTAAAATACAGCTTAAATTCATGTTTATGTAAATAATTTACACAGCGATGCAGAAAATAATTGGACTAGGAGGGGGAGCTGCGATAACTCATGATCGGTAGTCCTTCTAAATATGCTATATATTTCAAAGTCTTATCTACATAAATGAATCATGTTCTTAATGCCTAATAAATGTTCCTTATTAATGTTTATTGATACATTTTCCTAGATAAATGTTCCTTATAAATGTCTCTTGATAAATGTTCCGTGGGATAATAAGACTAACAAATGCATTATGTAAGAATATAATAGAATAGTAAATTATAATAGCAAATTGGATAAATAAATATAAATCAATATATATAAAGTCACATTATGCCTCTGAAATGAATTATTTTTTCTTCTTTAGAAAGGGCAAAAAATGACTTTTATAACATTTAAAAAATGGATTTAGAGAATGTTAAGTGTTTATTACAAGAGCAAAGTAGAGCAGAAAGTGAAATTATTTGACAATGTCATAATGTTAACAAAGTAGAATTTTGTCTTTCATACAAAATATTAAGTCGCTGCAACTGTACATATTACAAAAGGTAACAGAGGAAAAACATGGTCCAGGTAATTGGCCAATGAATAACTTTCCGGAACAATAACAAGACATCTAAATAAAAAAAAGAGAAATAAAAAAATGTTTCTTAATAAAAGGATAAAAGATGAATATCTGCTCAACAATGCTTCAAACATATATAAATTGTGAGCATGTATGCCATTTCAAATGTAACAGAAATAAATATGATACAAATATATTAATATCAAATAAATTACTTAATCAAATATTTCTAAGAAATAAAATATTTTTCAAGGTTAAGCATGTTCTTTTTTTCAATATTATGTAATAATTTCAATTATCCCCCTTTAGAGCTCGTTATGATTAGCAATAACCCTTTTTATTTCACACCTTATGAATAAATAATGAGTTTTCAGAGTTTAAACCATATGATGTTCCAACAGAAATCATTATTGGATCCAATCTTTGAGTTTGAAAATTCCATATTAAATGCAAAAATCCAAATATCTATATCAAACGTATATCGTACTCCATCTAGCTTCGTTTTCATTTTCAGAGTCCAAAAACTCATATCAATTGCAGGTTATGCCAAATTGCCATCTTCTGTCGTGGCGATACTGACCATCATAAAATCATAATAAAAGTTTTTTTGAAAAAAAAAGTGTTAAGACAATTTATTTCTTATAGTTATTGCGAGGGAAAAAAAGTAAAAAGAAACGTGGTGAATCGATGTAAATTGCGTAGCACGAACTTTTTCATATGCCTTGTAATGACGGTATGGGCAGAAAATTCCAGACACGTAATTTACAGTCAGTATGCCAAAACCAAAGGGAAAACAAAGTTGTTCAATTAATTAAATGTCTAAATATTATTGTAAAAGCCCTAAACTTACGGCTTTCAACTGGTGTACCGTAATAGATTGTAACAGTTTTATAGACATGAAATGGGCAAGAAAACATTCTTATTGATTTAAAATAAACAGCAGACACCAATTTGTACAAGAAAAATACCGGTGGCAGATATGAAAAAAATGTAATCCCGGAAACAAACATATATCCGTTCCTTTTAAACTGTAATATGATATAGTATAACATGTTTTTATTGAAGTACAAATGTTTAACAAATTTGTTTTGATGCAATACAATACAACTGCAATCCATTTGCAAAAGTCAATCTATTTTCCCCATTGGAATTGTCTATTTTAGTAGGCTATATTGTGTCGAACAAAATAACATTTTAACAACCTGGAAGAAAAATGAAAACAACTGTTGAAGATTAATAAACGATCAGTCTAAGCCAAGGGAATCATTTCCGCAAATAGACATTAGTAGATTACCAACAAAACTATCAAAAGTACAACATTGTAATGAGTTTATCATCCAGTTATGAATATAGATTTGATTTAAAAGAAACCGCAAATACCTATCCAATGGATATTTGACTAATGAATAATCAAAAATACTAACACCAAACTTTCATGAATGATACTTTGAAATAACTCAGCATTTCATAAAGTTTAACTCAGTCATGTTCTTGTTCTATTAAACAATTCATTGTATATTAGCAACATATTGTAAATATCAAAATTCGATCTCAAAAATAATTCGTATAAGTTACAATTTCTCTATTGAAATATGGGACGACCTTTTAGCTGTTTAATAAAAATATATGTTGTTACATTGTCATTATTAAGATACCTACCTACTCATAGATACAAAAAAATCACGTGACCGCATGAACATGACCTCATACAAGAGTATAAGATTTTTTTATTGGCGCTTTAAACAATTGTACCAATTGGGTGGAAAATTTGCTACTGTTTTATACACATTTAATTGATTATTAATGATTACAAACATCTGCAGACAAGTAAAAGTTATTCCATTTAACAACTGCCACCTGTTGTTAATTTAGATACCTCAACTGAAGTTATAATGTTCGGTTACGGCTAATCAGGTAAAACCATCTTCTCGCACATAGACGTTTACAGTTTCCCCAAAGGCTTGAATCATGTCAAAATGTTTTATGAATTTAAATGGACCGTATAGTGACTGTCTACTTCAAATAAATAACTTTAGCACATGCTCAAATGGACGTGTGGGAGATATCTTTTATATTTTGTTTCATTTATGAAACGTAAAGCGAGAAAGCTCAGATGTTACTTATGAAATGAATAGCGATTAAAGCTCATAAAAGTTGAACTTATTTATGACGGTGCACACATGGAATTTTGATACAATAAACTTTTTGAAGTATTTAAAGAATGAAATGAGTTATTAAACAGGGGTTTTATCACTTTGATTCAGCACCTTTCGTGAAAAAAAAACATTGGCAAAAAATGATGAAGTTAAATTTCCGACGAAACAGAAAAGCAAAATGGAAACTTTAAAGGCGGTCCAAAATTGCTAAATTGAAAGTTTGCAGGCTTGGTTTGATAGCTTTAATGCGTGGATGATTTTTTTATTTTAATGTTACCGTCTATGCCCCTAATAGCTTAAAACAAAAAGTAAACAATTTTATTATCTGATTGCAAACTTCTGAAGGAAGAACCGATATAGTATACATGGACCACAATGTTTATGGAATCAATTTAAATAGGCCCTAGTTTCCCGTTAAAATGATTAGAATATATACTCGCAAAACTTCCATCAAGTTTAAGGACCTCCAATGAGCTCCTAAAACTTGAAAACATAAAATTTGAATGTCCACATAGATCTGCTGGGACACTGAAAATGGAAATATATGCAGAAGATAATGAAGAAATATACTTAGATTAAATTGAAAATCGTATTTTTGTGGGATTTTTTAACACGAGTTAACACCTTTCAATTTTGGGCCATTTTTCACAAGAAGAATAATTATTATTTATTCAAAAAAAAAAATAAATAAATAAACAAACGGAATGAGCGGACGATCTGAAATTTTGTCCACAAGTCATCGGTCAAATCTGCATCAAATGGAGCATTTATCTCGAAAACTTATTTCCAGTCCCGTCATGTCAAGAAAACCTCAGTGTAGACCACTGAAAGAAACCTGATCAAAAGCCACAATTTATAACTTTGAAACATGCTATGTTGTTTTTAATCAAATAAATGTAAAATGTTAACAAATTTAAGTATTGTATTCTATTGACTTTTTCTCATTTTTGTCATTACAGAAGACAAAACACATCGCAAGAAGGCACAACAGGTTGAAGGACAAGACTGGAAAGAAGTTAAGAGCTAGGGATATCTTTATAATGCTGCAGCAAAGAAAAGTTGTTTTGTAGAATTGTTTCCCATCATGATCATGTTTAATTAAATTATTGTTTGTTTCTCTCATTATTTCTTATTTCGTGATACTGATTGAATAATAATCAAAATAAAGTTCTATAAACAAGTTATTACCTTTTAGTTTTCAAAACACGTACGCGTGTCAATAGACTTTTTGTTAAATGTTTAGGTATAGCTCAGGTTACAGCGGATGGAATAAAAGCGATTTCAAATAATTTCAAGGAAAAGCTTTTGCCCCGAAGTATCTTAATAAGTAAGCATGTCCAAATGGGTTTGTAATCTCCTTACCTCAGCTGGTGAGCAAATTGTACTTCATTTCTATAACAACCAGGATGATGAAAATGTTTTCACACTTGGAAATTTGTTTGATTAAACAAAATGATATAAAATATCAAAAATATAAGAAATGCTTCAACATTGTACAAGATTGTAGGCTCAGAAATATAATGGAAAACTTCACCAAAGCACGAAAAGAAAGAAAAGAACATGCAGAACCACTAAAACGATTACAGGATATATACCATTGAAGTTCAAATATTGGTATACAACAATAATGTCCGTCTTTGTTATAGAAAATCAAGAAAGGAAGTACGGAAATGTTGAAAATTTGAGATTTTGAATACACAAACAATCATGAATACGACAAACCACAGGTTGATAAGAAGTTTTCATTTTCATTACAGAACTACATGAGAGTTAAGAGTTTTCAGTCAGTTGTGATACAAGCAATATACGTAAATGTTGCGGCTGTGAAATATGGGTCGCTACAGATATTTTCTGAATGGTCGCTTTATATTCAAGTTGTCAAGGTCATGTGCCTATTAAGGTCAAGACTTGACAAATTATTTTTGGATTCCAAATAGGGTACACAATGTTATTGTTTTGTCCGGTTGTTTACGTTTTTGTCATGTAAATTCACAGTTTCGCCATGTAATTACTTAGTCATTTATTTTATTAGAAAAAGTGAAATACAACCATGACCTTACTAAAAAAAATCACTCAGAGCCTTATTGTGAAATATCAGAATAATAAAGTAATTAATAACTGAAATGTTCAATTGATTGATTAACTAACTGAAATCTGTCTGTCTGATTGATTGATTGATTGATTGACTGATTGATTGACAGATCGATTAATCGATTGATTGAAATAACGGACTGCTGTGTTTACTAACCACGACCAAATAGGGGTTAGTCATGTTTGACGTTTTTTATAATGGAGATGTTAATAATGATATATTTTCTTTTCAATAAACCCTTAATTATGCGAAAATGATTATAAAAAAATATATCGGTGTTTCATTTCAATATGTTCACCTAGAATCTAGAGTTTCATGAAAAAGGTTCGTCAAACTCATTAGCATAGACAAATACACAAATGATAAAGTGAATAAAATAATTATCATTTTAATTGCCAATTGTAGAAATTATCACACCGATTACACATTTTACAAACAGAAAATTAGTTGATGATGGCAATGTTTTCAGAGTAAATTCAGTTCCATAAGTGATATGCTAAGAAAGCAATGTTTCATTTGTTTTGTTTTGTTTAATAAGCATGTCATAAAAGCGGACAGGAAAACGATGCAAAAAACTTTTTTCTACTTTTTGTATCGTTAATTAGCTGTAAAATATTTATTTCTTAAAACAACCATACACAAATATTTACAAGTTCTTTAATAACCTCTCTTTTCAAAACACGCTGTTGAAAAATTGATATAAAAATTTATAAGCTTTTTTCCTTTATTTTTAGACATTTATGAGACTTGTTGATAAGGAACGATACATTCATATCCCCCGTAAATACAACAAAATGCGCAGTTGCCGTCTATTTTCGTTCCGTAACCGCCCGCGGCGGTGCTAAGGTGATTCTCAAGTACCTCTTTTCTCTCAGACGTTGTGATTGGCTGGTTGCTGCAATACACCCATTGAAAAATTTAGTATAATACTATCTCCTACAAGTGGTTTTATGATTACAATAAGATTCAGCTTAACATTATTGTCGGATCTTATCCTCCTTGCCGTGTCATTTCGTTTAGTTATTGCTTTTTTACATGTGTAACGAGCATTCTAGAGCGCATGTTGCTGTTAAGCACCTTCTATTTAGAAGAGTATTTAAACACCGATGGCAACAAAGAGCCGACGGCTGTTTTCAGGTGTCAATATCTATTTTTATGAAGCTAAACAATGTTAATGGCTGCAACATAATAATGCCTTTAAGTTTATGATTCGTTTACAATGTAATAGTAAAGAGAATGTGACTTATGAACTTTGACCCTTTGCATTGTCTTTGAATATTTGTAAAATAAAAGCAACAAATATTTACTAACTTACTTATATAGCAAAATAAGAAATATAATATTACTTATAAAGCTTTTTGACAGGTTATAAGGCCTAATATAAACGGTTGTTTGGAAATATAAACCGAGCTGCTAGGGTTTTATTTCAAACAACCGTTCGTATACGGTCATATATCCTTTCAGGAATATTAATAACGAATTTTAATACAGCAAACTTCCCTTTTTTGAGAAAGAAGTGCGATTTCTTAGAAAATTGACAGCAGCCGTCTATTTAAACCTATATAAACGTCACGATTATCCAATGAAAAGTGGCGTTACAAACAAGCAGTATTATAAATATATCTATATAAACGTAACGATTATTCAATAAAAAGCGACGTTACAAACGTGCAGTATTGTAAATAATATAGTATTTGTTGAATTGTGGTCAGTGAATTTGTCCCTGTTCTTAGAAGAAAGAAGGGCTACATGTTCATTGCCTATGTATCAAACTAAAATTGAATTGGTCTACAATGCACATGTTCTATAAGTAATTCAAATATTCATAAAAACAATAGAAATGTATCATTTAGGTGTTCTTATAAAATACCACTTGTGATTTGTTGTTATGTCTGATATACTAAATACTCTCAACGTACTTGTTTCTTGTATTACAGACCTTTTATTACAGATAAATGAATCACTTAAAAAATCAACTAGTTGGAGGTTATGGAGTATATTTCTATTTTTATATTTCTGTCATTGCCATCTATTTGAACCACTATTCATGCATGCCACGTTCGCCTCAGCAGCGACAACATTGGTGAGTAATTGGGCATAACTGGTCCGCTCGTTTTACAAAATAAATAAATAAATAAATAAATAAATAAATAAATAAATAAATAAATAAATAAATAAATAAATAAATAAATAAATAAATAAATAAATAAATAAACAAACAAACAAACAAATAAAAATAAATATAATAAATAAATAAATAAATAAATAAATAAATAAATAAATAAATAAATAAATAAATAAATAAATAATTAAATAAATAAACAAACAAACAAACAAAAATAAATATAATGAATAATTAATAAATCAATAAATAAATATATAAATAATGGACAAGCTACTTTAATTTCATCATAACTTCCAAATAAAAAGTTTTCTTAAAGATTGATTACTACAATTATTCAAAGAATGTTTAGTCAATAAGAAAATTAACTATTTAGAACACGAATGCTTAACTATGAATTCCTTTATGCAAAAATTACCAAGGCAGGTAATTGACAATGTTTTGCGAAGTTGTTTCTTGAGAGGCACTTGCTCCTAAAACACTTAATCGGCGCATACTCAAGAATCCTACCGATGAAACATGTATTAACCCCCTTGTTTATTTTAGCCACGTGCTTCAAATAAGTTGCCTCCCTTTAACATGTTAATTTTTATTTATTTATTTATTTATTTATTTATTTATTTATTTATTTATTTGTTTATTTATTTATCTTTTTGGTTGGGTTTAACATCGGTCGCACCATCACACAGTAAAAGAGGTCATATGGCGACTTTCTAGCTTTATTACTGGAGCAGGACCTCGGATGCTCCTCTGTGCATTTTTTTTCAGACACGTCCGAACATCTGAGTAGAACCACTGACTTTCCGTAAGCTGGATGGATTGCCACCTCACATGAAAGAATCCAAAGTCCCTAGCGGGATTCGAACCTACAACACTGGTCCATAATGAAATTCGATAAACTACGTTACGGATCGTTAATTTCCGGCATAATTTCCGATAATCAAGCCGATAAGGCTAGAGTTTGTTAGTTGAACTAAAATATGTACATGTTTATTATTTACCAGTTTTCAATTAAAGCTTATGCTGAGAAGCTGAACATCTTTGTACTTGTAGATGAATGATATGTAAAGCGCAACATACATAAAAAAAGGTTAATTTTAATGCAATAGTACATAGCCATGTAAAATTTATTTCAGATTTTCTTAATAGTACATGAATACATTAATGGGAAATGATGTTAGTTTATAGTTTATACAGAATTCATTTTAGTTTGATCTTGTGGGAAGCTATAAGCTTATAGATAAACTCTCAAATCCGTTCTGGAACCAACCAGTACTGAGAATTGTATGTAAAGTTTCTTGCTCAATGAAAACAACGGCGGAAATTGAACCAACACGGATAGAGATCACGATCATACTGGCTTGAAGCTCTAACCACTCAACTTGATGTTGATACGCCAAGAAAAGAAAAACGCACTTTCAAACCTGACATTACAGTCCAAAAATAATCTGTGTTTACCGGCGGGAAATATAAAACTTAATGAATGCAGCAATTAGTAAACAAACAAATAGCGTGGTGAGCCGTTGAAGGTTTCAAGCCTTCTCTTCTAGCATAAAATTAACAAAAAGATAGACGTTAATGCTGTAAGATTATAAGCTGATGGTGAGTCGACTAAATTAGGGAGTTATTTCGGGTAAAATCGTGTATCTGTTCAATTTGAATCAACAAATTTTGATTTGTACCTGTAAATAACTTGTATATTTACGAAATCCATTTTCACTTTGATGTTGAAAAAAATAAGAACAGGTTGGTGATTTGTTTTATACCAGGTAGCTAGGTTCATAACTTTCAGACTAATTGGACTGAATGGATTTCAACGATTGGTTACATAATTACTGACTAAACTGTCAATTAATTATCAAGCTTTGCAAAGCCACTGTCCATATCATAATTGATAAAATTCAAGCCAAAGTCTACGTCATACTTATAATGTTTTTAACGTTTCCTGCTTTGCTCCCAGACTGGAAACAGTTGTTGGCAAGTCACTGCCTTCAAAATTTAGGTGTTGCAAAGCAAACTTCCTCAGGAAAATTTAGTTACAATTTTTGCTCTTTCAGACACATAACTAAAGTGACATACTCGTGTTAGTGTGGTGTATAAAATCATAGAATAGATCATATATTTTAATGAAACGTTTGAAATTCCATGATAGATTTGGTTATAGAAATCAAATTTTTGTCATCGTATCAAACATATATACCACATACATTCTAAAGAAGAACGGAGGCCTGGTGATTTAAGGGCCAATCTTTCTTCTCATGGAACATCGATTTGTGCGAGGCTTTTTTCTTTAATTGATACTATATGCTTGTACCAGATATTATTTCATATAAATCACTTTACTTTCTTTCCTTTGATTTTTGTTTTAATAGTCAATGAAATAATATAACATATTGATAGAATATTATAATAAAGAACTTCGCTATTTAAAACTTTGACTCATGAATGTGATTACGTAAGATGTAAGTATACATTTGGATAAGTTTAATCTTCTCAATATATTTGTACAAAATTAATTTTTATACTCTCAGACTTCAAGAACAAGTAATAAAAATCTTACCTTCGTTGATCCACGGCAATATTTATATCAATATAAAGCTCGTTTAGTTTCTGTTCTTTGGGTTTATTAAAGTTCCACTTTTTCACAATTTGTCTGCAGACGATATTACAACAGTCTTTCCAAATTTCATGTCATGAGTATAAACAAAATGTTAATAACGTTGAAATATAATTATTTCACAAAAATGTATTATAGATCAAATCATCCCGGGGGAATAAAGATATGTCCCTTCTATTGAATCACGTGACCGATTACATGAAGAAAAAAATAAACCGCACATAGTTCTGCACCAATTTCAAACAATATTCCTCAATTACCGACTTGATTTATATTTGATTTGTAAGATTTTGTCATATGTTAAAAAAAACATCAAAGAAAATATTTTTCAAGTTTAATCAAGGTGTAAACGGTCGTATCCTAACTAGAATAAGTTACAGGGGTGTATATTTCACTTTATCTTCGGGGGGTCGTGCTTGGGCGAAGAAAAAGAAAATACCAAGATAGTTCAACTGCAAATAAAGGACTTATTATTTTAAACACCGGTCAGTTATTTATTCCTTTAAAATATAAATTAGCAACTTGAAATATTAAAAATTGCAAAACGAAAATAAAAAAAACAATAACAAAAATAGACAAAATAAAATTACGGGTACAACTTTTACTAAGCTTGCACTTCATAACTAAGAGACTTAAAATAATTGAATATAAAAAAATAAAACAAACACAAAAGTAGGACAATAGTTTTGGTTATTTTTGTGTAACATGACAATCAGTTTCTAGATTCATTTTGATCCCAAATCAAATTTATTCGTATATAAAATGTAATTACAAAACAAAGCTTATCTATAAAACAATCGCTAAAAATAAGAAGGAAAAATAAAAACAAATCTATAGCGTGCACCTTCTGCCAGGTCCGCACCAGGACGCCTCCTAAAAAGCCCGTGATTAATCAGGTATCAATTATCCCCTAATCGAGTTCTTCACGACATCGTGAACAAGCAACAAATTGTTCATTTCATTCATCTAAGGTCGTTGGTTTACAAAGATGGGTTTAAATTACACCGAGCTATCAGTCGGTCCCCTTTGATGTATCATTATCAAACCCCAATACCTTAAACTTATTGCTTATTAACAGACTCGAGATAGTTTATGTTGTCATTGCGGCCATATTATGTAACCGTGTAAAATGTCTCTTGTAATACAATATAAAACAGTCTGAGAATGACCGAAAGTATTTCAATGACAAGCAGATTAAATTCATAGAGATGAAAACAAGATAATAAAGCTTGGTTAACATCGATACGTAATGTATTCTCTCTCAAAATATTTGTTTCTATGTGTTAAGCGATGGCGACAATGTCTTAGTCATTGTTTCTATGTGTTAAGCGATGGCAATAGTGTCTCAGTTATTCGTAACTCGCTTTTGGAAGTTTTATCCCGTTGCAAATAACCAACAAATTAATAACCTCTTTCCGAGTGACTCAAGAAAGGTCTCCAAATACTCTTTAACGCGTAGAGTCAAATGCAGTTTTTAATATATATATATTAAAAACTCAAAAAAGCCGAGAGGAATTAAGACACGTATATGGTCAATTATAACTTGAAACTGTTTTCCTTTTATTTCCCAATGACGATCTTAAAGCAGTTATGTACCTGTAGTGAATCAAACTGACTGTTTTTATTTGTTTGGATCGTCAGATCAAACAAATAATGGTAGCTAAATTTCAAACCCTGATGCTGTTAATTGAAAATGTCGAAAGTAGTACGCTTTTATGAAGCGGTAACTTCCCTTTATATGTACACTAACGCCGAAAAATTCAGGGGAGATCACTGCGTAAAGATTGTAAAATGACAGGCGCATTAATTTTCAAGCAAAATAGTTCCGAATGGTCGAAGATTTCTAATATTGTTTTATTCTCCATAAATATACATGCTTATAGTAAGCTCCATGATTATTTACATCTGTGTTAAACAACAGGTTTAGCGTCGAAATGATAAGAAATACAAACCCTAATTTAGAATAATTTCGTTTTCTTCAGGCCGTTAATATATAACTTCACCATGGCCGAGGGTTTGGAGTTCAAATCCCAGTTGAGGCAATTCATTTGTTTTCCATTTTTTAAAGTCAAATAAACATTGAATTGAATATCAGTGTTGCAATTAGTCTTATAGCCAATTTACTACAGTTAAATCACTGGAAAGCATTGGTGGCACTATACAAAAACAAATTGGTTTATAATCTCATAAGCGTATGGGGGGGGGGGGTCAATATGTACGTTAAAGTTTTACACGTTGAAAGACAAGTAGTCAGAAAGATAAACAAGATCATAATTGATTTTATATTTTCTATAGCTTATCTAGAAAATGTGATCAAATAAAATAACAAATGGGCGAAAATTAAGAGATTTACATACTGGGAATTGCGTGCAAAGCACATAACTAAGAGTGCAGATTGCAATTATTGCTAACAAGGTCAGAAATTATTGCAAAGAATTCGAACAAAGCTGATAATTATTGCTAAGAAAACGTTAAGAGCAGCTTATTATTGCAATTAATACGGGCATAGCTGTCAGATATTGTATAACTGGCATTTTTGGCGAAATTACGGGTATAGCTGGGAATTATTGCAAAGAATATGGGTAAAGCTGTTAATATTGCCAACCATTCCGCGATACAAAAGGGTTACAATACATTACTGTGTACAACTGCATTATGTTGGACGAGTACAAAGATGTAAAGACTATATAAAAGATTAAAAGAGGCGCCGAGTCTGTAATAGGTTTTGCAGCTGTGTACAAGTACATTCAATAGAATCAGTTTTGTTTTCTATGTTAAATGAACTCTTTATTTCACACCACCATTTTATAAAATTTTGACATAATTTTACTACTTCAATTTCATTAAGACTTAGATAGGTTGTTGCTGTTTTTTTTAGTCTTGGTGTGCATTTGATAAAGCCATTTTTGACTCAAAAAATGAAGACTATGCTATATGGATTGTGATATGGATCTTATATGTGTAAATGAAAACGAGGTTAAATTGATGTTATTTCTATTGGAACATCACGTTGTCTAAATGCTGAAAGTGCATTGTTTATATTTTGTAAGGTATGAAATAAAGTTATTTATTAACTAGATTATGGGTAAAATTGGCGATTAGTCTTAAAATTATGGGCAGAGTCGGTTGTTATTGATATAAATTGGGCATGGATAGTTTGGTTACCAAAGATACTGGACAGCCAGTATTCATTGCAAAATATGGACATTGCCAACAATACATATTGAGGTTGTTAATTTGTGCCGAGAATACGGTTAAAGTTAGTAATTAATGCCATAGCTGTTAATGATTGCCAAGAATATGAACAAAGCTGGTAATTATTGTAAAAAAACAAAAACGGGACAAGTCGATTGATAATGATACGAATACAGGCACGGTCTTATTACCAAGAATACCGGACAGCTGGTAAAAAATCCAAGACAAACGGACATAGCTGTTTTTATTGCCAAGAATACGACGGGCGTAACTGTTAACTGTTGTCAAAATGTTGGGCATAGTCAGTTATAATTGCAATGACTACGGGTATAGCTGCTGGTAATTATTGCCAAAAATAAATGGTATATAATTGATTACGGGTACAGCTGCAGTGGTGATTATTGTCATCAATACTTACGTTACTACATTTTGTATATATTGTTACAACATTTAGGGTATTTGAATGCCATTAGGGCAAGATTTAGGTCATTATGCATTTAAGCCGCCTTGCAACTCGACAATTGGTAATGTAGTGACTAAAAACACGTGTAAAATGACATTATCAACTTCTAGTGACTTTCGAGATGGCTGCTGTCGTTGAATGAACTGTACTGTTGTCACTTACACGATACTACGGGTACAGTTGACAATTATAGGCAACAATACGATCATAATTATTATGGACGATCAAGAAGAAATAATTTGCATAAAAATAGCTCATTCACTGTTGATAGATACAAGGAGATAACTCAAAGTCAATTCTTTTTAAATACGCGCATTGTTATATTCCTTGCCCTAACACTTAACATCATTTAATATTTGGGATTTTCTTTATTATATAAAATGGCGTTTCCTTGAAATTTAGTGTAATTATTAATTAAGCGTCTCGTAGGTATTCGAGTTTTGCAATCATTTTGTTAATACATGTACATAATTACCCAAGGACATACTATAAAATTGTAGATAATGAAACGTTATTGTTTTGAGGACAACGTGTATGCGGTAGTAGTTTGTGGAATACACAAGGCAACAAAATCGAAATAAAGTATAAAGATACATATCGAAGCGTGGGGGAGGGATTAACGGAGTTCCCCCTATCCAAAATAAGTAATAATAATTAAGACACAGTATCCGGAACAGTACTAACCCATTAATAATTCTGGTGTCAATAAACTTGCTATAAATTTTTATTGAAAATCTTGACATCCCTAGTCACAAATACGAGCGTAATTTGGCTTTCCTAATAAGGCATAATTGAGCCGCGTCACGACAAAACCAACATAATGGGTTTGCGACCAGCATGGATCCAGACCAGCCTGCGCAATCGCGCAGTCTGATCAGGATCCATGCTGTTCGCTATCAGTTTCTCTACTTGTTATAGGGTATGTAAGCGAACAGCATGGATCCTGATCAGACTGCGCGGATGCGCAGGCTGGTCTGGATCCATGCTGGTCGCAAACCCATTATGTTGGTTTTGTCGTGACACGGCTCATATTATTATAAGTTTGAGCAGGCTCTAAAGTAGTACGATCAACTTTCTGTATGCAAGCGGGTATAAGTATAAAGCTTGTGTCATTATTGGATATTAAGTATTTGTAGTCAAGACGACCTTGACATTTCACCTCCGTTGTGATTGGGGGAAATCTTTAAGTTATATTGCTTTGAATGGAAGTTCCTAGCTTGCTATTGGCTATTTTATGGGGTTACTATGACCTTGACATTTGACTCCATGCGTGATCCTGTCGGTGAAGCTTATAAAGGGGTATGAGGGAAGGACTTTTGTGCTATGACCACGATTAAATTTTTATGACAAATAAACAGACAGACCAAAAACAATATGCTCATCTAATCTTCCCCGCGACATGTAAATTAAACATAAATCAATCATAGTGTTAGGTAAGTAAAATATAAATGAAACAGATAAATATGATAAAATAAAATAACAACTAGGCAGC